AGTGGTACTTTTGAGATATCTACAGAATAAAATCAGTAATTTCTATGTGTGACAATCAGGCAATGCTTTTGCAGTTTGTGGCAGTGCAGGCTTTTAATCTTAGCATTTGGAAGGCAAAAGAAAGTAGATCTCTGAGTTCCAGGCCAGCCTGGTATAGGGAGCTATTTCCAGGCCAGCCAGGGCTACACAAAAATTTTTGTTTCAAAAGAACAAAAACATGTGTTTTGAACAATATAAAACTTGGTGTGTCTCAAGTGTACAGCATTGGAGAGGCAATAGTGAAGAATCATGCCTGGCCAATCTAGTGAGGTCTTGTCCAAACAAAACAAACCCAAACAAACCCACAGTGTTATGAAATATAATGCTGTGAGGGGGTACCTGGCGGGCTCATGCCAAGGTGTGCCCTTAAAAAATTATGCCATGCAACAGATCTGGTATAAAGGGGATTTATTTGGGGAAGGAAGGGAATGAGGACCTAGAGAAGGGTTAAAGGCAGACAGTAGACTTGTAGGTGGGCAGACAGATGGGAGCAGAGCCATGAGGGCAATGGAGAGGATGGGGCACAGAGAAGGACAGAGAACAGGGTCAGGGTTGGGGGAGAAAATGCGGGAAGAGAGAGAACACTGGATGGTGGGCACTCTTTTTATGTGCAGCCCCACACCTGGAGCACCTGGTGGCTATGGTAGCATGTAATGACATATACCACTGCTAGGGGCCTGGGAGAAGTCTGCACTGCTACCACCCAGCTTGTTCAATTTTTAAAGAGTTTTCAACATTTCTTCCATTCATTCATTCATTCATTCATTCATTCATTCACTTTACATTCCGCTCACTGCCTCCCCCCCACCAACAGTCACCCTGTCCCACAATCCTACCCTCATCTGCCCTTCCCTTCTCCTCTGAGAGGGTGGGGCCTCTCATGGGTAACCCTCCTCCCCCCATACTCTGGCACATCAAGTCTCTGCAGGGCTAGGCACATCCTCTCCCACTGAGGCCAGACAGGGCAGCCCAGCTAGAGGAACATATCCCACAGACAGGCATCAGCTTTTGGGATAGCCCCTGTTCCAGTTGTTTGGGACCCACAGGAAGACCAAGCTGCACATCTACTACATATGTGCAGGTGACCTAGGTCCAGCCTGTGTATGCTCTTTGGTTGGTGGTTCAGACTCTGAGAGCCCCAAGGGTCCAGATTAGTTGACTCTGTTGGTCTTCCTATAGAGTTCCTATCCCCTTCAGGTCCCCAAATCCTTCTCTTCTATAAGAGTCCCCAAGCTCCATCCACTGCTCATCTATGGGTCTCTGCATCTGTCTGAATCAGCTGCTGGGTGGTACCTCTCAGAACAGCCATGCTAGGTTCCTGTCTGCAAGCATAACAGACTATCATTAAAGTGTCAGGGATGGGTGCTTGCCCATGGGATGGGTCTCAATTGGGCTGGTTATTGGTTGGCCATCAGTCTCTGCTCCGGGGATGGGGAGGTTCAAGGTCAGGTATGGGGAGGGACAGGAGAGATGACTGGATGGCCATGAGAATGAATGGAAATCTGACTGACAGGGATGAGGAGGTGGGGAACATCTCCAGAATGGGACAGAGACCTGGGATAACGGAGTCGCTCAAGAATCAATGGGCGTAGGGCTGGAGAGATGGCTCAGCGGTTAAGAGCACTGACTGCTCTTCCAGAGTTCAATTCCCAGCCATCTGTAATGGGATCCGATGCCCTCTTCTGGTGTGTCTGAAGATAGCTGCAGTGTACTCATATAAATAAATAAATAACTCTTAAAAAAAAAGTCAATGGGTGTGACCTTAGCTGTGACTCATAGCTTTGGGAATATAGAATCTGAAGAGGCTTGTTCTGTTTTTTTTTTGTTTGTTTTGTTTTGTTTTTTAAGTCAGGGTCTTATATATCCCAGGCTGGCCTCAAATTCACTATGTAGCAGACGATGACCTTGAACTGATTCAGTCCTCCTGACATCACCTCATAATGGTAGGATGACAAATGTGCAGTGGTGCCACAGCACCAATCCCCCTGGCCACTCTTAGAAAAGGCACAAGCTTAAGAAGCTGCAGGAAACCTAGGAGCAGTGGGGAATGCAAAGACAGAGAGGGGTTCTGTGTGCTAAGTGACGTTAGGTAGGAGCAGCGCTGAGGCCATGGTGGGTGGCACTCAGAGTCCAAAGTGCAAATGCCTTTGTTTTCCCCTTAAATCTTCATGAGGTGTGAACAGGCCAGAAGCTGGATATTTGGAGAAGTATTTTCTCAGACATGGAGATCACTAATCAGGGGACCTAGGAAAACTCTTCAGTGAAGTCACTGTTAAGTTCCAATTGATAGCAAGCTGAACTGGCCCCCAGAGGTCAAGCCCAAGTGTTTGCCTCTGAACACTTGACCCGTGAAGGTTTCTGTGTAGAGCATCTAAACCAGTCTCCTGTCCTCACTTAACAACCCTGGTGGGAATAGGTACTTACCAAACCTTTAAATGAGTCTTCATTTTCAGATGTTTATTGAACAGTAGTCAACTAAATTGAATTCTAGACCCTGGGGATACATTAGTGCACAAGACAAGGTAAGTCCCTGCAGCCACAGATCTTAAGAGTGGGGTAATAGTTAATCCACACCATGGGGTGGGGGGCTCTTTCAGGAACAGGGTTGGAAACTTTAAATAGAAGGAGCTATGAAAAATTAGTCTTTGTTCTTGGCTCCTGGCACATAGCTCCTAAAACTCTGAAAAATCTACTGAGTGATGTGTTTGCTGATGAAATGGTTGGTGGTTAGACACCCCCCACCCTCTGTCCCAGTACTGGAATAGCAGGTAGCCATAAGACCAAGGTATCATTAGAGGGTGGGGCTGCCCAACCTCCAGGGCTATAAATATGGGTTAATCGCTAATGGCCAACTACTTAAGCATGCTTACTTAGTTCATTAATTGTCCAAAAATATCTCCAGCACTGCATAAAACAATGGAATTTGAGGGTTAGGTTAGTGGTTTTCAACCTCACAGGGGTTGCCTAAGACCACTGGGAAACGCATATTTACAATTCATAACAGTAGCCAAATTACTTATGAAGTAACAATGAAATAATTTTATGGATGGGGTCTTTACAACATGAGCGATTGTACTAAAGGATCTCAGCATTAGGAAGGTTGAGAACCACTGGTAGCTTAATGCACCTAGTTGAAGGGATTGTGGTGTTGCTGGAGGGTGTGGGAGCTCCTTGCAACCTCCTTTTTTGTTTGTTTGTTTTTTCGAGACAGGGTTTCTCTGTGTAGCCCTTGTCCTGGCACTCACTCTGTAGACCAGGCTGGCCTCGAACTAGAAATCCACCTGTCTCTGCCTCCCAAGTGCTGGGATTAAAGGCGTGCGCCACCACTGCCCGGCATGCAATCTCCTTCATATCCTTTTTATTCCCTGTTCCTAGGTTTACTTTCTTTAATAAACTAAGTATAACAAACTGTTTTTAGGAGTACTATGACCTGGAAGAGCATAAAAGCCCAATTTGTAGCAATGTGTTATTAAGCACTATCCTTTGAGCAGAACAACTGCCATGTTATAAGACCAGCTGCATCTGCTTGCCAAAGATCAGCTTGGGCTTGGTGATATTCCCTCCCAGGAAGGGCAGGGAGCGTCACTGAACCTTTACCCAAATACTCATAGCTGCTTTAACTGTACTATAGCTTCTAGGTTTCATGGAGGGGCTGTAGTATATAGACTGGAAAGGACTGGGGGAAGGGGGCTCCATCCTTGCAGCCAAGCGAAAATCATCACGCTGGGCGGACTTTCCCAGTGTGACTACTTTGCTCACCCGTTTCAGTCAATAACTCCTCACCTGTGAAATGTAAGCTCATAAACTCATTGGTTCTCCAGGGTGAATCATACTTTGGTTTGTCATTCGGATCTTTAGAGAAGGGATAGACATTGCTTAGTTCTTCCACACTGGGAGAAAATTCTTTTAACACTACCCTGTAAAGGAAGACTTTGTGGAACTGAGGACTAAAACTTGTAGTCTCACACTAACTCTGGAGAGTGTCTAAACTGAACTGCAGGGTACTGGTTGGTATCCAGAGAAGTGTTCTGGGTGTCACAGTGAAGAGAGTAAAAAGAACTCAGTGTTACATAGTTGCTTTTCATTCAGTATAAGGTTAAGTCTCAGTTTTACGCCTTACTATGTCATTCATCATGGACAGGTCACATTGAGCCTTGGATGTTCAGTTCAAACACAAAACCACTACCTTCCACCTCAAAAGTTATGGTAAGGATTAAACAAGAGGCCTGTGTGATGTACTCAATATCCAGTAGGCACATTGTTAACACTAATTCTTTGATGACAGCATATAGAGTGCTGCACTTGGTGTTTCTGAAGGTGAATCAGATTCTTATCTAGTTAACAATTCAAAGAGAGGATGTGATAGCATCCAAACACCAGTATAAGTGGGGAATAGTGTTATACATCCTTAATCCCAGCTCCAGGGAGGCAGAGGCTGGCAGATCTCTCTGAGTTTCAGGACAACCAGCACTATGTAGAGACCTTGTCTCAAAAAACTGAAGAAAGGGCTGGAGAGATAGCTCAGTGGTTAAGAGCACTAACTGTTCTTCCAGAGGTCCTGAGTTCAATTCCCAGCAACCACATGGAGGCTCACAACCATCTGTAATGGGATCTGATGCCCTCTTCTGGTGTGTCTGAAGAGAGCTTCAGTGTGCTCACATAAAAGAAATGAATAAATCTTAAAAAAAAAAACTGAAGAAAAAACCCACAGCATAACTGATTTGAAGAAAAGCAAAGTGAAGAATGACTAACTAGTTGGTAGAGTGACTCCAGGGCAGGCTACAAGTGCCAGAGAATGCTAGTACAGGTACTGTCTGCAGCTAAGCTGGAAGCACAAACACCACATCTCTTAGATTAGAGATCTCTTAGATTTGGAATGCTAAATGATGAGCTTATTGGAACTAAAGAGTTTCTGTATATGTCTGCCTACCACCTTGTGAAAGAAAAATGAATGGAAAAACTCTTGAGAAAAGTCACTTTAATTTTCAGAACTGAGCTAACAGACAAGATGGTCCTTTTCAGAACAGCTTCACAAAACTTTAGGTAATGTCAACTAGAAGTAACACTTCTGAGTTTGCAAAAGTATGCCTAAAGGGGGGAAAATAAAATATTCAGGGAAGAACTGATGAAGAAAACAGTTATATTCAGTTTCACTTTGGACATAAGAAATAGGCTATAAAATTCTCAAATGTTAAGTTGCTTATACAAACTTAGAGTCATGAGCATGACCTCAGGATCTGCACTCTTTATATCAAGTGCTTTAACCAAGCAGTGGAGAGCCTCCTGTATCCTCCCACACTCTTTCAGTTCTTTCCCACGAGCTACAAGACTCTCATAGTCATTAGCAGCCTCCGCTGTGGGATCCTGGGGAGGATCAAGCAAAGGGTCACTTGTCAAAGGTTCAGGGGCACAGGGAGAGCTTTGTGAGGCTGGAGAAGTAGGCTCAGACATGGGCAAGTTGCTGGACTTGTTTCCTGAAGCCAGTGTTGCCCCAGAAGGCTGCTCTTCCGTGCAGGCTAAGGCTTCTTCATTGCTGTCTTCTGAAAGCCCTGGCTCACTCTCCTCCTCGCTGCTGTTATCAAGCCTTTCCTCCATATCTTCCACATCATCTAAAACCACATTGATCAGAGACCTCCTAGAAGCCAGAGACCTCCTAGAATGTAAGGATGTATTCACATCATCGGGTATTTTAGGTGAAAAAACCCTTCGAGATGGACTGCTGTCATTTTGCGGAGTTGAGGCATCAAATTGTTTCACAGATGAGAATGGGAAGGGAGAGATGCTAAATGAATTTGTGGAAGTACCTTTAAAAGCATCTTCTTCATCTTCATCATCTGAGAGGATCCTAGCTTTGTTTTTGGTTTTCACAGTAATCACTTCTGATTCTTCATCACTCTTATTAGAAGAATCCACACTGAGATTAAGTGCTGACTCTTCCCTGGCGTTAGCTGCAGGGCTTTGCAAGCTATTTTCTTTCTCAACATGTTCCAAAAACTTGCTGGAGAGATTTTGTCTAGTATCTGCAGAGTCTTCCAGGAAAAGATTGAAATCACATGCATACTGTGGTGGTGATTCTAAAGGGTCCTCTTTCAACTCCGACTGGGCCTCGATTGCTTGAGCACCCTGCAGTGCACTAGGGGATGCTGACAACTCATCAGATATTTCAATCATGGGTACATCTGATTCTCGGTTTTGATTTTCATTTGCTGTGGGACTATGGTGATAGAAAACCACACTATCCTGTAGATCTAAATTTGGCCCAAGATCAGCCTTGCTAGATTGTCTAGGTAAATACTGAAAACTTCCCAGGTTGTCTGATGGGGCCTCTTGCCCAGGTGATGCTTGTAATCCCTTCTTCTGCACAGCTTCATTTTCAGCTGCAAAACTTTTTGCAGGGCTCACTAAAGAGTCAGTCCAAACTCCTCCTATACTTCCAGCCTCCTGGGGTAAAGAAGCTATAGTGCCAGCATCAGATGTAGTCTCAAAGTGGTGCTGATCACCTTGCAGCGAAGTGACATCATGTGCCTCGGAGTGCTCTTGGGGCTCACTCTCTGCAGACTGATCATTAATGCTTATACTGGCCATCTGAGAACTGATAGCCTCTACCTGGGTAGGATTAGTCAGAAGGCGTGAAGGCTGAGGCTGGGGTTTGTTTAATTCAGTACCTTTCTTCTTCTGTTGAGAAGAAAATTCCTGTGCTTTGAGCCAGGTCTCCTCACTTCCAGTTCTTTGTCTTTCCATTGTATTTTGAGACTCGGATTCAACAAGGAATTGAGCTTTCTGAACTCTCTGATGAATGTACTGAGAGTCTTCCAGCATGTCAAGCTCTTCTTTAACAGACAGATCATGGGTAAACATCAAATCATGGTCTGAGATTCCTGCTATGCCCAGCGAGTGTAGGTAAGCAATATGCTCATCTAGTTTCTTATCAGATCTCCGCTGAGCAGCATGCAGACACTGAAGCTGCATCTGGGTGGCAGAGTTCTGCAGATCCCCAACTGTGAAGAGCTCTTTTAACTCTTGTTTGGTGAAATAGCGGAATGGGTTCTTCTTATCACCAGTAGTTTGTCTGATCAATGAGTCCTTGAAAACCTGTCTTCTATATATCTTTTCTTCCACAGTTCCACAAGTGATTAGCCGGTAAACCACAACATTCTCTTTCTGTCCAATTCGGTAAACTCTATCCACAGCTTGAGCATCAGTTGCAGGGTTCCAGCTAGGGTCAAAAATGACAACTCTAGTCGCTGCAGTTAATGTTAGGCCAACACCACCGACTTGAGTGGTAAGTAGAAAAACTGAGTATTCTTTATTTTGCTGGAATAACTGAATTCTTTTTTCTCGTTCCCAAAGATGAGTAACTGTGCCATCAATTCGCAATGTCTTAAAGTGCTTGTTCTTTAAGAGACGCTCAATAATGTTGAGAATTTGTCTCGACTGAGAAAACACGAGAGTCTGATGTCCTTCATCTTGAAGTCTCTCTAGCAGGGACATTAAGAATATCATTTTTCCAGACTCTTGCATCAGTGTATTGTCAGTTAAGTGATCAATGCTGTTCATATCTGAGGCATCTTCCTCATTTTCATCCTGAGCAGAGAATGTGGCAGTCCCTAGATTCAGCAAACGACAAGCTCGTGCAGATAACAGCCTAGGGTGGTCACAGAGCTTCTTTAAGACGCCCAGCTCAGCCAGAGGTGAGCGTGTCTCCATTAACAACTCCTTGATGTGATCTAAAGACACAAACTTCCTATAAATTTCCTCTTGTAAAGGCACAAGGCGTATCCAAACAATTAAATCATTTTTCCTGGTAAGGGAAAGCAGCTCACAAATGGCTTCAACACCTGGATTCTTCTCACCAAGTCTGGCCTCTGGGTTGTCTGCCTTTTTCATCTGCACTTCTTCTTTGGTCCTCCTTAGAAAATAGGGTTTTATGATTTCCATTAAGTTTTCAGATATCTTAAGTCCCAAGGCTTTTTCCCCAGCGGTAGCATCCTTCTCTCTTGCTCTAATAATAGGATTTTCATACTCCATTTTAAAAGTTTTTAATGTTCCTAACAAGGAACCTTGGCAAGCAAAATCAAACAGGGACCACAGTTCTTGCAGATTATTCTGGATTGGTGTTCCTGTGAGAAGGAGGCGGTTCCTTGCAGGAACAGCACGAGCACAGATTGCTGACTTGGTAGAGGCACTTTTGATCTTATGGGCTTCATCAAGGATGACATAATCCCATACAAATGCTTGTCCATTAAAGCTTGCAAGTTGCTGCCAATTATTGAGTAACATTTGGTAGGTAGTGATCACAACACCATTCCTTTGTTGAATCCGTGTCAGGCTTCTAGTGCGCTCATTCTTGCTGGAGCCATGAAAGGTTTTGACTCTCATTCCTGGAGTCCACTTGGCAAATTCTTTGACCCATGTATTAATGAGGTTGGTTGGCATGATCAATAGCACATGATTCACAAGTGAAGCATCGAACATACCTGACAGGAAAGCAATGATCTGAACAGTCTTTCCCAATCCCATATCATCTGCTAAGATGCCCCCTTTTCTTCCATCCTTATACAGGCTATAGAGAAAAGCGATGCCTTCTTTCTGGTGCTCAAAGAGTTTCTCATACAGCTCTCGGTAAAGCAGTAAGCCAGAGTTGCACACATCTGTAAATTCATCATCATCATCTTCTTCTTCTGCCAACTGCTCCAGAGCTTCCTGTAGTTTCTGGATTCTGCTCATCACCTTTTTGGTGGGAAAAATGTCCTTTGCCAAATTGAAAAGTTTCAATGATTCTTCCAGATCTCCATTCTTAGCTGCTTCTTTGGCTTCTTGCACATATCTATTTTTTAAAAAAAAGGTAAAAATAATGTGACATGGGACTCAGAAATTAGCTCAAGTGGTAGAATACTTGTTTGGCATGAAGGAGTTTCTGGAGTTAATTCCCAAGAAAGGAAACAGACTGAGCATTTAACCTATGAAAGCTTTAGAGTTCACTTTGGAATCCAGACTGTAGTTGGGCTTTTTAAAAAGGCAGTCTCAAGTATCCCTTAAAGTTCTTCTTAAACTCACTATATAGCCAAGGTTGACCTTGGACTGTCCTCTGGCCTCTATCCCACCTCAGGAGTGCTGGGCATTTTAGGCATGTGCTATGCCCAATTTTATATCTGGTGCTGGGGATTGAACTCAGGGCTTTGTGCATGCTAGGCAGCACTTTACCAGCTGAGGCTCATCCAGCCCTGTAACTGAGTTGGGTTTCTAATGCCCTCAAGCAAATCCCAGAGCTGTCATCTGACCTCTGCACACACATATCACACACAGTAACAATGAGTAAATAATTACTGTTGGGAATGTACATTAGTAAGTCTCTATAGAAGACATTCTCAAAAATGAGAATAAAACCACATTATAATCCAATTATATCACTTCTGAGCATTTACCCACCCAAATCAGTTAGCTTAGTATAGAGACCCCTTCATACCCATGTTCATCACAGTGCTATGCATGATATCAATATCATGGAAGCAGCCAGGCTCCCCATATACATATATGTGATATAAATATAAAATTGAGGGGCTGGAGAGATGGCTCAGAGGTTAAGAACACCACCTTCTCTTCCAGAGGACCCTGATTCAATTCCCAGCACCCACATGGCAGATTACAAAGGTCTGTAACTCCAGTTTCAAAGGATCTAATGCCCTCACACAGACATACATGCAAATTAAACACCAATGTGTATAAAAAATACAAAGGAATTTGTTGAGGGATGGTTTTGTACACTGTGTATTTCGGATGCTGATTTCTGTGGCCAGAGATCTGGTTGCAGTCCAGATGTTGGCACTGCCATGATTATTATAGCATCTCCTGTCTTAAGGATGTGTAAAGATTGTTTTCTTTTCTTTTTTTTTTTGGTTTTTCGAGACAGGGTTTCTCTGTATAGCCTGGGCTGTCCTGGAACTCACTCTGTAGACCAGGCTGGCCTCGAACTCAGAAATCCGCCTGCCTCTGCCTCCCGAGTGCTGGGATTAAAGGCGTGCGCCACCACCGCCCGGCAATACTTTTTTTTTTTTTTTTTTTTTTGGTTAAAGATTGTTTTCTATCACCTCTAATTGGTTAATAAAGACTTGATTCACCCAATAACTGGGCAGGAGAGGAGAGAGACAGGACTTCTGGTCCTAGTCAGGACAAGACTCAAATGGCAAGTAACAGGACAGGTAGCTGGGAGGTAGGCCAGGCCAGCATAGTCAGGTTAGAATAGATGAGTATCCTACCCAGCTATAGTGAAAGAGGCTTATAATATATCAGATCTATGTCATTATTTCAGAGCTAGGGCAGGCACAGAAAAGCCCCTTACCTTTACAGGAATTATAAAATCATCATCATAATAAAACACACAATTGAGCATTAATGACCATAAAAAAAGAATGAAATCTTTTATAGGGGTATCACCAGACCCAAATCCTCTTATTTGCAAGATCAATCAGACCCAGAAAGGTAAGTAGTGCTCTCTTTTTCCTCCCCACCCCCTCAGACAGCAAAAAGCAACAACACAACCGGAAGCTTAAAGAAGAGGTATCTATTGGAGACTGGGATAGGAGAAAGAGAAGAGGGAAAGGAAAGGAACACAGGAAGGTATAAAAGTGGGTGAGGTCCGGTATGGTGACACACATTTTAATCTCAGCATAGGAGAGGCAGAGGCAGGTGGATCCCTGAGTTCCAGGACAGCCTGCTCTAGAAAGGGAGTTCAAAGTGAGCCTCAGTTACACAGTCAGACTATATGTATGTGTATGTCTCTATGCATATATGTATATGTTTATATATAGAGTGAACATGATCAATACATAGTATAAACATATATGCAATATCTGTGCATTCCATTAATTTGTATACTCTGCACTAAAAATTATAATTTTTAAAAAGATAAGAGCATAAAAAGATGTTCCATGTTAGTTATCAGGGAAATGGAAACCAAAACCACAAAAAGATACCACTTTATAGTCCACCAGGACTAACTAAACAGTTAAGAATTTCTTTGTGGGGTTGGAGAAATGGCTCAGAGGTTAAGAGGACATGAGTTCAATTCCCAGCACCCACATGGGAGCTCTATAGCTCAAGTACCGGGGCTTCTAATATCCTCAACAGATATACATGCAGACAAAACACCAATGCACATAAAATAAAAATAAATTATATGTTTTTTAGAACTAATATCTTTGGAAGGTAATGAAAATGTCCAAAAATTGGCTATAGTAAAAGGTGCACAATTATTTGAACAGACCGTATTCACAATTATGTGAATATAATGAATGCCACTGAACTATACAGTATCAATAGGCAAAATGCCCGGCATAGGCAGCCAATAAAGGTGTTAACTCAAAACGTCTCTGGTGGACCCATAGTCTACAAAGTTTACGCTGCTAAGGCTATCCCTGACCTACACATGACTATATACATATATGAACATTCACGCTCATATACATACCCCCCACATCTATATACCTAGTACTGCTCACACCTATACACATAACATGTACATACATATACACACAAATCACCACAGACTATTAGAAGTACTTAGATCAAGGAATTAGGACTTTTAGCCTGTATTGGTTGGTTTTTGTCAACTTGACACAAACTTATATATACCTGAGAAGGGAATTTTATCTTTTCTTTTGAGATAGGGTCTCTGTATGTAGCTCTAGCTAGCCTTAAACTCCATAGGTAGCCCAGGCTGGTCTGGAACTCACAGACATCTGCCTACCTCTGCCTCTCAATTGCTGGATTAAAGGCGCACACCACCAGTCTGGGTAGAAAGAGGTTATTTGTTTGTTTGTGTTTTTCCTGAGACAGGGTTTCTCTGTAAAACCCTGACTGTCCTGAAACTTACTCTGTACACCAGGTTGGCCTTGAACTCATAGAGATCTGATTGCCTCTGCCCCCACTCCTACTCCCAACTCCCAATTCTAGGATTAAAGGCATACATCACCACTGCCCAGCCTAGAAAGAGGGAAGTTTAAGGAATGTTTCCATAGCCTAGTGGTTGTGGTGCATAATTTTAATCCTAGCACTCAGGAGGCAAAAGCAGATGGATTTCTGTGAGTTTGAGGCCAGCCTGGTCTACAAAAATGAGTTCCAGAACAGCCAGCCAGTGCTATTACCAAGAGAAAATGTGTCTCAAAAACAAAACACTGCTGAAATTGCTTGAAAGTATATGTGAATATATGTGAATTTCCTCCACCCATCTTGTATCAGAAATGATCTATGGGGGCTGGAGAGGTGGCTCAGCAGTTAAAAAGTACTGACTGTTTTTCTAGAGGACCCAGGTTCAAATCCCAGCACCCACATGGCAGCTCACAAGTGTCTGTAACTCTTAAGATCTGAAACCCTCACACAGACATACATGCTGGCAAAACGCCCATGTATATAAAATAAAAATACATTTCAGTAAGATCTTATGTCAAAGAAATAGAATGGAGAGTGACAGAGCAGGATGGCCAGTGTCCTCCTTTGGCCTTTATACATTTGCACATAGCTGCAGGCTACCTGCTCATATGCATGCACATACATTACACTCACAACCACCCTACCCCCAAATAAACCATAGGTCACCAAAAAAAAAAAACAACCAAAAACAAAGAAAGCCAGGCGGTGGTGGTGCACGCCTTTAATCCCAGCACTTGGGAGGCAGAGGCAGGCAGATATCTGAGTTCGAGGCCAGGCTGGTCTACAGAGTGAGTTCCAGGACAGCCAGGGCTATACAGAGAAACCCTGTCTCAAAAAACCAAACCAAACCAAACCAAACAAAAACAAAAACAAAAAACCATAGGTCAGCAAGATGGCTCAGAGGGTGAAGACTTGCCACCAAGTCTGACAGCTTGAGTTCAATTTCCAGAACCCAGATTATGTGTGGATGGAGAGAATCAACTCATTACGTTGTCCTCTGTCTTCCATATTCACGTGTGCAGATACACACATGCACACAAATACATGAAAAAGAAAAGAAAAAACCCTAGTGCATTAAAAGAGGAAAAATGCATTAAGGATTAGTCCCAGTATAATATTTAAAGGTTTTTGAGCCCCAAATTGGATCCAGAGAACTCTGACCTAATCAAAGGACTGACCAATAATCTCTTAATGAAGTCATAATAATCTAATAGTGGTATTGGGAGGCAGTGGGAATTAAAGATGGGACCCAGGTGGAGGAAGCATGTGACTGCAAATGTGGCCAGGAGGGCTATACATTGTCCCAGGTCACTTCCCTCCCCCCTTCCTGCTTCCTCTGCCATGCTACTGCCTCGTGCAGCTTTGCCTTGCCCAAAGAAGGCCTAAAAGCAATGGAGCCAGCCAAACATGTACCAAAACCTCTAAAATCATGAGCCTAAATAAATCTTAAGCTGTTTCCCCACATATTCTGCTACAGCAACAAGAAAGTGACTAACACAGAAGCAAACTTGCTCTTCTGAGAGATGTTCTCATCTAATCCCTTGATGAGGACAGAGAGCCAGACACCCAGCCCATTACTTCTCAAGATCATTACTTTTGCGATTAAATCTCCACCAGAGTTTTGGTGGGATCAAGTCATGGTAAAAACACTGGATTGTTCCCAACCATGGTGGCACATGTCTATATTCCCAGCATTACTGAGGCAGAGGCAATCAGATCTCTGTGAGTTTGAGGCCAGCCTGGTCTATAGAGTGAGTTCCAGAACAGCCAGGGCTACACAGAGAAATTCTGTCTCGAAAAACAAACAAACAAACAAAAACAAACAAATAAAAGCTACAACAGGATCTCTCCATGTCTCTGAAAGGTGGTCAGTACTGGGAGGGTGGTAGTAACCGGTAGTGGCAAGGCATATGGTACAACTATTACGTTAAATGATGCAAAGGGAACCTCAAAAAGGGGGATCAAGAAACTGAAAGGAAAAGGTACTGGTAAGACAACCTGCATGAACACGAAAACTGGAACGAACCTGATGTCCTCATGCTATACACTACTTTAACAGCTTCATGGTATACCAATGTATGGATATGGATGCAATAATATTTACTTCACAATTTTCCTATCAGTGGTATGTAGGGTATGTAGATTGGGCTGAGGACATAGCTCAAGGAGAAAGCACTTGTCTAACATCTAGAAAGCCCTAAGTTCAATCTTCAGCATGACCAATAAAAGATGGAGATTATTATTTCCTTCTAAAAACTGCTATCACTATCAATAAATACAATAAAGTGTGTGAGTGAGTGTGTGAGTGTGTGTGTGTGTGCGTGCGTGTGTGTGTGTGTGTGTGTGTGTGTGTGTGTGTGTGCGCGCATGCGCATCACCATGTCTGGCAAAAAGCCCTTTCTTTCCTAGTTTTGCTCACATCTGCAAGAAGCCTTTGCAGGGCTGTCCTCCTTGCACTCAATGGCAGTGAGTATCTAGAGACCCCTATATGGCCTTGTCCCTCCAGCCTGACAAATAAGCTGTTTGTATTACTTGAGGAAACCAGGATATTTTATAAGTTAAATAAATAATGGCAAAAATAAAATCTGGGCATCAAATAACTTAACCCAGTAAGAAGGCATCTCACACAATAAAATGGCTTACAGAGAAAAGGCAGGCTGGCGAGTTGGCTTAAGTAGGTAAAAAGGTGCTTGCAGCCCTGCATGAAGACTTGAGTTCAATCCCTGGAACAGATTTACACGAGAAGGAGAAAACTAACAGGAGTTGTTCTCTGGTCTCTGCATTCACTCCATGGCATTCAAGTATATCCCCTGACATCGGTAATGTAATAGAGAAATTTAAAGTGGGGTGGCACATACCAAACTAGTGCGCCTAACAACCTGAGTCCAATTCCAGGGACCTATACTGTAGGAGAAAACCAACTCTAGCAAGTTCTCCTTTGACCTTTGACTTCTACATGTGCCATTGTACATGTGCTCAAGATCACACACACAAATGATACTCTGGTCTGTTAAAGAGATCAAAGGCGACTTATATAATTGGGGGAAATATCTAAAAATGTGATCCATGTTCAGATGTCTACTTTGCCCATCCTGCTGATAGAGCACCAAAAACTTCAACACGTTGATGGAGCCAAACTCCCTACAGAGAATGAGTTTTTCTAAAGACATTTCTCTCTCTCTCTTTTTTGTTTGTTTGTTTTTTCGAGACATGGTTTCTCTGTGTAGCCCTGGCTGTCCTGGAACTCACTCTGTAGACCAGTCTGGCCTCGAACTCAGAGATCCACCTGCCTCTGCCTCCCAAGTGCTGGGATTAAAGTCATGCACCACCACTGCCCGGCTTCTAAAGATATTTCAAACCTGAATGTTAACAACAGCAAACAAACAGTGTTTACTTCAGGCCAGAAGTTGTACAAACTTCTCGAGTTTCACTCTTCTAATCCTAAATCTAAACAATGAACCTCAGAAAATCACCTTAGAATTTCAATTCTAAAGGAACATCTTTGAAGAAAACCAAGTAAGCCAGCTCATATATTTTTAATTTAATTACATTTTAAGCTTGACTTAATCTTTAAGCCTTGTTATAAATTACATCTTTTGAGATATTAAACTTGGAAGGCCACAGACTTTTTTATATAGATGGCCATTGTGAAGACACCTGAGAGTCAACTCTCTTGTGAAGCATACACACTTGTACTGTCCTGTCCTTACATGACTCCAGTTTTAAATATTTATAGACTCACTAACTTTGCTTCACTCTGGTTTGTCTTGAAATTCTTTTCTCCATTTTCATCTAAGAGGAGGTCCCTCGAGGGAAAACTCCTTAGAATACAGGTGGCTCTGTCCACTGCCAACACTGACTGACCTTTAATTCAGTGGGACATAGTATTACACACCTGTAATTCCATCACTATGGAGGCTCAGAGAGAAGGATGGAGAGTTCAAGAGCAGCCTGGGCATCACATAGTAAGGACCTGCCTCAAAAATAAACAAACAAACAAACAAATAAATCCATGGCTAGCACTGGGCAAAAATTAGTAGCATGTGAATCTCTGTGAGTTCAAGCCCAGCCAGGCCAGCCAGGACTACACAGAGAAACTTTGTCTCCAAGGGGTGGGAGAGGGGAACCAAAACTACAAGTCAACAACATAAATCTACATACTGTACAGATGACTCTATGGTGAAGAGCACTGGCTGCTCTTCCAGAGGACCCTGGTTCAATTCCCAGCATCCACATGGTGGCTCACAACCCACTGTATCTCCAGTCCCAGGAGGGGATGCCACACACCCTATTATAGTTGTGATCTTTTTCCCCTCTACTCATGAGTGGTTTTGAGCAACCTTTCATGTGCCCGTTTGGCATTATTAGTATGCTTTTAAGAGAAATGGCTACAAATCCCTTGCTTATATTTTATGTAGATTTTTAAAAATTAATTTTATTTATTTTCATTTTATGGGCATGGGTGTTTTGCCTGTATGTACGTGTGTGCACCACATAGGTACATGTGGTAGCCAGAAGACAGCATAGGATGCTGTAGGCCTGGAGTTACTAAACCGATTGTGAGCTACTATGTGGTTGCTGGGAATTGAACCTGGGTCTTCTAGAAGAGCAGTCAGTGCTCTTAACCTCTGAGCCATCTCTCTAACCCTGAACTACAGTTTTTAATAGTTAAATATTCCTCTCCACACACTTCTAAGCTCCAACTGGAGAAAGCCGATTCATTCACACGGCTTAATGGCTCCTTTGAGGGCATATGTCTTCCCTTCGCTCATTGACCATTATAATTGGCCACCTTTCCCTTTAATGCCAACACTCTGGTCAGGAAATGAAGTATTTTACAGCATCCACCATACACTATAAAGTATTTCCTTTTCGGATCCCATTTCCACTACCCTATTGCTAACAACTTGGAGACTATTTTTCCTCTTTTAGCCCAGGTCTGACGGTTGGCAAGTTAGGAGGACTCAAAGATTTCATCAGTTAATTGAAATTCAGGCTCTTAAAGAGTTCATACTCAAGAGTTATTTGACTGAGAGTTATTTGACAGGGCGCCCGCGGGGGCAGGGGACCTCCCTGAATTAGAAATCTGGTCAAATCCACAAGCAGTTCCTAGGGGGAGGTGGGAGCCATTCCATTTCAACCCCAGGCCAGGGACTGCAAGCTAGACCGTCCGGAAACCCAAACATACCTCAGGTAACTCTCCGCCAGTTGTGGGTTCAAAGTCTCCACTTCCGTCAAACCTTGGGAAGCCTCCATGGCCAAGGAAACCGGAGGGCCAAGGAAACCGGATTCCCAGTTAAAGCGGCGCTTGAATTTCGCTCGCTCCCGCCTTACCCAGGCTGGGCGGACAAACTAGAATGGTAGAGCCAACCGCCTGCCGCGAGGCTGGCCAACCCAGGATCCTGTGCGCTAGCGGTTTCCTAAGCCCCGCCCAGGAAGGTCTCGCGCCTGCGTCCTCGAGCACTGGCGCTAGCTAGCTATGTTAGCTAGCGTGGCCGATCGGTTTCGGCTGCTGATTCACGTGACCGGTGGTGATTTCCGTCCCATCCTAACTGCTGACGGTGAGTGTGAATGTTGAGTACTGAGAACGAAGGGAAGGAGTTGAGAGCGTGAGTAAAATGCGCGCTTGTTTCTCTTGTCCTTGTGAGTGGAGGCTATCTTATTGTAATGGCCCATAGAGGTCTCCATTGCCCCTTTCCCTCCCCGCAGAGGCAGAGGCAGGAGGATCTCTAGATCCAGCCCACACTGGGCTTGCTTATAAGCAAGTCTCAGAAACACACACACACGCCCACGCCCTTATTTACGCAATACTAAATAGATTCAGCAGGTTATGTATTTGAGGTTAGGGAAGGGGACATGATAGGATTTGAATGGGAAGGAATGGAAATCTTGTTAACACAGTACTCATATATGAAAGTCTGAAAAAATTTAAATGTAAAAAAAATAAATAATAGCTGGATTTGGTGGCACAAGCCTGTTGGGTTTCAGATCCGGGACAAATGGCTGAGGTGCATATATAACATACCAAAGTGGACCTGGCCTCTAGGTTCTCCCAACATCCCTCAGCCCCTCCTTGTTACGGGACATGACTAGCAAACTCCACCCTCCACACTACACTATCCAACCAGGGGCTGGGCCACCCAGCTGCTCTTCTTTATATAATCCAGACATTTTGGGTTTTTTCTCTCTGTACACGTGCTTTCTCTCTTTCTCCTCCCATTCTCTGTCTTCTTTTCCATGGTGACTTTACTGACCCCCTCCTGTGTGGTGGGTGAATTCGCCCGAAAGCTGCCCCCAATACACTTGCCTTTATACTTTAATTTGGCTTGAATTGGCTCATTTTGTCTGGAGATATCTTATCAAAGTCTAGGGTTCCAGCACCTTTGAGGTGGAAGCAGAAGGATTACGAATTCAAAATCTGTGGTTCAGGCCAATCCAAGCAACCTGTGAGAACCTGTGAGTGCTGGGGCTATCCCTCAGTAGTAGAGCATTTGCTTAGCTCTGTGAGTCTCTGGGTTCCTTAGTTTTGTAAAGATAAACAAATAAACACAATTATAATGTGGTCACCCCTTCAGAAGTTCTGGTTAAGATGCAGTCATTTTCAAAGGCAAAGCTCAGGCCTAAGGGAAATCGGAAAGACAGATACATAAGAGGTTGTGAACCGACAAAAATTACTCTGGTTTATATGCTGCTAAGAAAGCCACTCCTGGCCTGGCAGTGGTGGCGCATGCCTTTAATCCCAGCACTTGGGAGGCAGAGGCAGGCGGATTTCTGAATTCCAGGCCAGCTTGGTCTACAGAGTGGGTTCCAGGACAGCCAGGACTACACAGAGAAACCCTGTCTTGAAAAACCAAAAAAAAAAAAAAAAAAAAAAAAAAAAAAAAAAAAAAAAAAAAAAAAGAAAGAAAGAAAGCCACTCCTGAAGCCCAGAACTCTGTATACTGAGACAGAATTGTGATGAGTTCAAGGCCAGGAAGGACTAAAAACACACTGATGGAGACATGGACATTGTGATTCTCTCAGAAGCCAGTAGAACTGTTTTGTCTAGTTACTCACAATAAGCTTGGACTCGAACGAACTAACCACCCAGCAGCACTTCCTGCACCTATGTACAAGCTTTTATGGTATAAGCTGCCCCTGGGATGGACCCCAACATAAGAGACACCTGCACTAATATAAGAAACTATTTGGAATAAGACTTCCACTTTGAGTAGTGGTGGAGTAAAGTTCAACTTACCAAGACTTCCTTGGGAACTAACATCCTGGTTGGCAAGTTCAGACATGAATTTTAGACAAGTCCCATCTTGGTAGACAAATTAAGACATGAATATTAGACAAAAATTCCCTGCCACAGTTGAATACCCCAGCCAATGGGAATAAAATAAGTGTACAACAAAGACACACGTTCCCAAGAAAACCCCCCTATCTCTAAATCCTGACTAGTGGAATAAGTTGGCACAGGTGTTTATGGATTTGGGGCTTTAAAACCCTGTAGGATCTTAACTCGGGGTCATGGTTCTGTTCCTGAATCTGGACTGTGGCCCTGGGTGGCCAGTCCTGGGGCAGATGCTCAATAAACTATCCCTGTCTGACTGAGATGGGTGTTCGTGTGATTTGTGAGGCAATTCTTGGACCCCAACATTAAGGTAGTTTTAGACAAAATGATAAAACATCTGGAACTACATTAAATGACTCCAGTAGGGATTAAAAAGAGAGGGGTAAACAAAATTTGTTGATAATTCTGAGACTTCCTATAGAGTTTCATGATCCTCTTCTTTGGACTTCTCTGTGTGTGTTTGAAAGTGTCTGTATCAGAGGCATCTTAAAACAAAACAATACAAACAAAAAATTATCTAATCTGCAAATTACACTGAGTCACTTATGCTCACAAAATAGAAATAAAATGAGAGTCCAGTATGTGTACAGAGAACAATGAGGCAGAATAGCACCAGCACCACTGGCCAGGCCCTGTCCTGCACGCTGCCTGTGCTAAGCTTTACTCCTTACATGACCTTTCTGAGTGGCGGCGGCGGCTTCTTCTTCTTCTTCTTCTTCTTCTTCTTCTTCTTCTTCTTCTTCTTCTTCTTCTTCTTCTTCTTCTTCTTCTTTGTCGTCATCATCATCATCATCTCTTTACAGATGAGAAAATTGAAGCCCAGAAAAATTAAACAAATTTATGGGCCTAGAATATGGCCCCCTTGTTTCAGTGCTTGCCTAGTAAGGGAAGTGGAGGTAGGAAGATCAAAGTACAAGGTCATTCTCTGCTACAAAAGACTATCTCAAAAGAAAAACAAACTACTAAAGGCTACAAAAACAAAAGCCAAAACAAAACAAAAAACCTCAAAGGCGTGTTGACAGGCCTTAGGACTTCCCTTCTGAAAAACACTCTTTTTTACATTTAAGGCAGTCTGCCTTTTAAATTTTTGTTCTTTTTTGGCATTTTAAAATAAATTTAGCATACATTTACTTATTTAGGGGTGGGATGGTGCTGTATGGTGTTAGTCAAAGGACATCTTGCAGGAGTCAGTTTTCATCTTCTGCCATGTGAGTTCCAGGGAAGGAACTCAGGTTATCATACTTGGTGACAAGCACCTCTCCTGACTGAGCTATCTCATCCGGTCTTTTTTGGTGTTTTTAGGACAGGAAAACTCTGTGTAGCTGAAGATGACTATAAACTTCTATACTTCCTGACTCCACCTTCCAGGTGCTGGGATTACAGGCATGCAGTACCACACCTAGTTAGAGATGGAGTTGAGGATTGAATCCAGGTCTTTGTGTAGTCTACACAAGCACTTGACTAACTGAACTACATCTCCAGCCCCTTGCTGCTACTGCTGCCGAGCTGCTACCACCTTTTCTTCCTCCTCCTCTTCCTCCTCTTCTTCTTTTATTTCTCTTTTGCAGTGATCTAATCTGAGGATCAAACCTAGAGAATCAAACACATGTGAGGCAAATGCTGTGCTCGTAAACACTCTACTGGTTAGCTATAGAAAGCAATTGGGGGCTGGAGAGATGGCTCAGCCATTAAAAGGCTAGGGCCACAAGTAAAATGATTACACAGGTGAAGCCAGATGCAGAACCACACGCCTACAGTCATAGCACTCAGGAAATCGAGGCAGGAGGAACGAGAGTTCCAGACCAGACTGAGCTACATAGTGAGACTTGTCTCACAAAATATGGCAGCCTGGGATTGTAGCTGTGAGTGAGCATTTGTCTACTCTATTAAGTGAGCTGTGTCAGAATTCTAGACATGTTTATGTGTTTATACAACATCAGAGTTATTAAGGACAATAAGTAAGTTATAGGAATCATACTGGCTTTAATTCAACAAGTACTCCTGGTTTCACTTGTCATTCGTGACTGTTGGCAATCACTGCTTCTTTCATCCCAATCTCTTTATTATTGATATAATTGTCTGACTTGCTAAATGGCTCTAACTAGCCTGGTACTCACTTTGTCACTGAGCTAGCTGTAAAGTTATAGCATTCCTCTTGAGATGATAGTCCTAACCCACCATGCTCGACACAGCAGGAAATTTTTTGAGTATTAGAGTGAGCTGCGTGATGGAGGTAAGGGAAACTGAGCTCAAAAAGGGGAACAATGGCAAAGGTCTTTTACTCTGACAGTTTTCCTGGATGAGGCTTGTGTTGATTGATCAAGTAACAGGTCGGAGTACCTACCATATCTTATTCTTAAGATGACTTTTTTAATAGTCCCCAAAAATAGGGTTATATCTGGTGTGGTTGGTAAGCTCCTATGTCTGGTGTTTCTTATAGGGTTTGATATATTCACATATGTGATTATTTATTGCTACAAATAAATTATTTATCAGTTTGTGTTCATGCTGTGCTAACAGATAAAGGTTGTTTATTTCTCTAAACAAGTTGTACAGTCGTTCTGCCTTGGCATTCATTCTTAAAATGGAGTAAGTCAGGGCTAGGCACTACCTGGAAGCTATGGCCAGTTCTGTCCAACATAGAGGAACCCAGATCAAGTACAACCTGCTTTCCTTGTCTAGCATATGTGAGGCCCTGGGTTCAATCCCCAGCACTGCAAGAGAATAATTTTTAAAAGAATTATTCTTCTCTCTGCTTCCTGTCTGATACAAGATGAGACCCTCTTCTGCCACACACTGTCACCACTATGATGTTCTATCCAAGCAAGCATGGAGTGTGGAACCTCTAGTGCCATAAGCAGGAAAGAATAATCCTATCCTTGAGGAAAGAGGAGGAGGTGGTGGTGATAGGTGAAGAAAAGGATTCATTCACCCCTTTACAAATGCATTTATTCAACAATTTTGTGTTGAGCCTTTAACAGGAAGGCAAGCAAAGTCCCGAGTGCTTGGGTAAAGTGTCAGGCCAGACAGTTCAT